ACCCCAACACACTGGTACGGTATCAGCTGGTACCGTACCAGTTAATCGGGTACCTGTCCCGTGATCGGGACTTGAGTCCCGTATGTCACGCTGTGGAGCTTTTATACTTCTCCACCCCACATTTCGGAATAAGATTTCCGTCTGCCTTCCTCACTTTGAGTTCGTAGATTGGCACAGCAGGGAGTCGACTCTGTGGTCGATTACTGTTGCAACGCCGACGATCGCCCATCCTGCAGCCGCTCATTTCGTTGCCTTTTAGTCTCCGGCCCAGGCTTGGGGACATATGTCCTATATTGATTGTCCTAGGCCGCGACTCCTCGTCGTAGCTGTTCTTTCGAGGAGAGGTCTTCGAATCTTCTGTCTCGATTAGCTCATTCGGAAGGTCCTCGAGCCCAGCGGGCGCGGCGTTGGAGATTGGAAATTTCGGTGAGCTCCGTCGAATATTTCGAGCTCCTTCAAGGTCTTGTTCGAACTTTCAACTCCGAAGGGACACCTGCAGCTTTGAGTAGTTCATTGTTGAATGGAATCACCAAGACGCAAAGGAGGGGACCTGGAAGATGGTCTCGAGATGTCTCCCGGTCATGGTCTGCACTTCCCGCTTCCTGAACGGTGAGCTCTGTCGCCACCCTATGCCTGCATTATTGTTGTCCGCTTCAGCGTGCCTTCGCTTGGATGGAGGGGAATCAACTTCACCGCTGGAGGACGCAAGATCCTGAAAGATTGCTCTGGAATCATTCATCCGGGAGAGTTCACAGCCGTCATGGGCCCGTCGGGCTCGGGTAAAACTACTCTGATGAACATCCTAAGTGGAAGACAGAACCCTTCGGGTCGCGGTCTGAAGGTCGACGGCACGGTGACTTTGGATGGGCGAATAACGGCGCCGTCGAAGTTCCGTGACAGCGTCGCGTATGTGATGCAAGAAGATGCATTGGTATCGACGAGCACCCCTCGAGAGGTACTCGAATTCGCTGCTACACTCAAGTTGGACAAAAGCAGACATGAGGTGAGGATATACAGATGGTCTCAAGAAACGGTCTGATTGACTTTGCCCCGTGTTCAGATCAAAACTATTGTCAACGATATGCTGGAGTATCTCCGTCTGAGTACTTGTCAAAATACGATGGTGGGCAATCAACTAACTCGAGGAATATCAGGCGGTGAGCGCAAGAGGACTTCTATTGGGATGGAGCTCATAACACAACCAAGTATGTTATTCTTGGACGAGCCTTTGACCGGGTTGGACTCCTATGCGGCGGTGACGACCTCGAGGGTTCTCAAAGGATTGGCTGAACACGGTGTAACGGTCCTTATGACAGTTCATCAACCTTCAAGCGAAGTCTTCGAGCTTTTCGACAGGGTCATGCTCATCAACGAGGGCGAGATAGTGTACCATGGCCCGAGGACCTCTCTCGAAGACTACTTCGTGAGTCATGCGGACTTGCGCTG